AAATGTAGTCAGCTGTTTCCAAAAGAATTCATTTTTGCAAGAACTTCCGCGCGCTTCGCTGACATAGCTGCACGCGCTGCACGTACGAATTGTATTGAGCGCTGAAACGATTTTTAAACTGTTGTTTCGCGTCCCTTTGTGACGTGAACAACTGCATTTAGCCATAGTAACGATAAATGAGCGTGAAATCTGCGAATCTGCAAGGTTTTCTCAGGTTGCTAGTTGCTGAGTGTAAGAGAAATTACTTTCAGCAGAAAGGTTTATTATTTTTGGTCATTAACAACTTAAAGCATTACAATGTGTAGCGAAATGTGAGTTACTCTTTTTTAACCTTGAAAACAAATGATCTTAATAATTGCAAAAATCAAATGATTTGTTACATTTTGTAGTATCTCAGGATGAAATCTCCACTGCAGCCAAACTCGTGATCACACTTTGCACTGTATCGGGCTTTTCACTGTGTTCCGCAGAGGGTATGTTTTTTTCGTGAAGACAAGCTCTTGTTTTGTAGTTCGAAAAATGAGCCCTTAGCCATAATTCTACTTTTTCCGAGGATCGGAGAGTCTTGGACAAATCTTGTTTGATGTGAGGTGTAAGCCACCCTTGATAATATCTTTTTCCTTCATCGATGAATGGCTTTGAGGCTTCATTGTTATCCGCGTTTGGCCATAGTTCAACTTTTTCCCAAGATCTTTGCTGCAACAGACAATTTTCGGGTTCTTCGGTCGAGTGCTTTCCGTTTATGCTGATTTCCGTAGCATCTTCGTAATTAGCCGAGCCCGGAGAGTCACTCATATTTCGCACCGATTTTTAGTCAGCAAGTTTCTCTTCATTATTATATCGACCAAACTATAATTTGAGCACGTTTACCTGAACAGATAGCAAAGCGTTTCCGAGTCAGTCTTTGAGCCTCGTTATAATAATCAAACAAAGATCGTTACACGCGCGAGCACTGAAGTGTCGCAATGATCATTCGTGACAACATGACAGTGAAACAAGAATATAAAGCCCAAACACGACATGATTTTTTGGATCATGCTGTGTCTCGATTATTGAGAGTCTCTGTTTCGTAAAATTGTGACAGGTGTCTCCGCATTTGAGCGGAAGTCATTTTCGGAAGTAGTATAGAAATGGACGTAACTAGGACAAAAAGTTTGTCTTGTTTTGGTCGTTTTTTTTATAAATTGATAGCATTAAAAATCAATAGCATTAAAAATCAATAGCATAAAAAATCAATAAATAAGAATAGAGACAAAATTTTTGTCCCAGCAAAATTGATAGCATTAAAAATCAATAAATAAAAATAGAGACAAAATTTTTGTCCTAGGTACCTCCATTTCTATACTACTTTCGGAGGAAAAGTCCAAAGTTGACTTCCACTTAACTTGAGTTGTCTCTCGCACTGATTGATGACTTCAGCTCACCGGGCATCATGTCAAAATATTTGAAAATTTTATGAGGATGGTAAAATACATTTTTAATGTAGAACACGAAGTAAATAAATAAATACCCCTTACTAACCGAATCCGAGGTCGACACTGTAAATTACGGACTGAGTTTTTCCACTCGAATTTATGGCCCAAGTGTGAAGTGCATAGGCGGTAAAAACGAAGTTCCTTAAACCCGGCGGGGTTAATAGTTTTTTTAATTACGTTTCTGGGTTCAAATGGGGAGGAAATTTCAATTCAAACAAAATTTTGAATTTAGCGGGTTGTACAGCGATATACCGGCCTGTTAAATTGACCAAATCATGGTTGTTACAAGTTTGTTTCTCTATATTCAGAACATTCTTCCTTAAAACTTTGCCTGTCTGCCTTACTAGCCGCAGAGGCTAATCATGATATCCAATGATGTTAAAAGAATGGAGGAACAAACTGCAAGCTAGGCCGAGAGTTAGAATAGACCTTTTTAGCTTTATACGTCTTAACTGGTCACAGGGTCTGAAATGGGTAACCAACAGTCGCGAAGTGTAGAGAATGGTTCTCTCTCGTTGTTTCTGTAACTGCCACAATATATGCACAGATTGGGAGTTGCCTTTCATGAATACCCACAGGATCCTGCAATGTGTCTACGCACAGCGGCCGCATTTTACTTAAGAGTCTGGTGGTTGCTGAGATATGTGCCATAAAAGCGTATGCCCTAAGGATCCTAAGCTACACAAGCACAGTATCCATGCTATATTTCTTCAACTTTTAACCGCAGGAATTTGTATTTTAATCTGCATTAGCAAATGGTTAGAAACCCGGAAAAGTAATTTGTCACCTCTCGATTTCTTAATGTCATGGCTGTTTTCAGTAAAACAGATATGGAGTTTTAGAGTAAAATAGGATCAGAATATAGACTTGGAGTAATTTCGTTTTTGTATCTTACAGCTGATTAAATTTCATAAACATAGTGTCTTGTGCTAATAATATTCGTCTTACGTATGATGCACGATCCTTCGCAGTAGATAGCGCTATTTGTGCAATAGCGCAAATCAGACCTGAAAAAAATCAGGCCTGTACGGGATTCGAACCACTGACCTCTGCGATACTAGTGCATCTGAATATTCGTCTTTTTAAAAACAGTTATTTTTTTGCAGACGCTGCTAATCAGCAAGGAAAAGCTGCTCAATTTCACGACCGGGCGTGTGTTTGACCTGATATCCAATGATGTTGAGAGAATGGAGGAACAAACTGCCCTATTCTTCTTGAAATTGCCTTTCTTTGTTCTTGAAATTGTATTGGCAGTGATTATTCTTGGTCACTTGATTGGCTGGCAAGCTGTCTTGGCGGCCATCTTTCTTTGCTTTACAGTGCCGTATTTGGCTGGCGTATCCTATTGTAGTGCTGCCGTGCGTATGTGGATAAAGGCCGCGTCCGATCAACGCATTTCCCTGATGAGTCAGGTGGTTGCTGGGATACGTACCATGAAAGCGCATGCGTGGGAAGATGAATACCGGAAAAGGATAAGAGAAACTTGAAGGTAAGGGCAAATGCGTCAGGGAGTTGATTCGAAAAGAGAGGGGCTCTCTTTCAATCTTTTGAACCAATGCCGTTTTCAATCCAACCCGAGTTTGGTCGGCTGCTGATCTACTTAACGACTTGTAAGTATTTTGTGCCCAACTCTCCGTATTACGCATGTAGAATCACTTTCCAGCACATTTTTTTCTGCATCTATTTTAGTCACGCTGGTTGCACCTGATGCGTGGCTACTTTTCCTTACAAAGCTGAACCCAGAGGATCAGAGAGACAAGACAAATGTAGCTATCTATGGAATGCTTGTTGGTGCCTCCTTTATTTTCGCCATCGTTCGAGCATACGAATTCCTTTTGGTGTCTCCAATATGTGCTGAGCGTCTTCACGACAAAATGGTTGTGGTTGTTTTACAAGCTCTAGTTCTGTTTTTTGATTCTAATCCCATAGCCAGAAACTCCATACAACATAGCTGCAACAATGGCCGCGAGCATGCACTGTGCGCGGAAATTCGAATAAAATATGGCTTCCAAATATAAAGGAAATTAGGGGAAACAAAAACATTTTAGCATTTTGTGGTATTACCGCTAGAATCTCAACGTTCTCCATCGTCTAAGTTTATAAAGTCAAGTTTGAACCGTGTTTTAATCGAAAGGTGAATGTGGGGAAAAACTTGCTTGCCTTTTCATCAAAAGGCACTTTAGACAGTGCCTTTTGATGAAATCTATCCGATAAAATAGCCAAATTTTCTTCTCGATATCCTTAAAACTAGGGCTTACCTTCATAGTTTCTTACATCTGCTACGAGGAAACGCGGAGTTAATCATTGTTGGAGCACAGACGATAGGGAAACCATGAGAAATTCGAGCTAGTCCCTTTAAATCATCATATTACTATTGTTATCATTGTCATCATTGTAAATATTATCATTTGTCATCATTGAATTACTGGTTGAATTTGTTGATTGAATCGTCACATTCCTAATAAAAAGCGTCAATTGTGGAGAATTCGTCTTTATTACCCAGTCAGTCTTATAGAATCAGGATTCGATCCCCATGATGCCTGCAAAACTTTTTGTTTGGTTTTTCTTAGTTATTTATTGTGTTTAACGTTTTAATCAGTTCCAATCGTTGTTTTAGTATTTAAGCCTCTTAAATCGCTAGCATAAAAACTCGATAACTTAAAATCCCATGATGGCAAACAGCCGAAAACGTTTCGTTCAAACATTTTAATTTTTTCCTAATCTTTTAGCCTTGTATATAGAATATATTAAAATCCTATCGTTACAGTCGTATACAGACTTTTTCGTGGTCTATGAGACACGAGCGCCTAAATGTACCTCTAAAGCCCAAAGCTTAGCGTCATCCACCAGAAAGCTTTCCCAGAAATCAAGATTCAAATTTAATCAAGATTCCTAATAACAGTTAAACAATTCCATGTGAAGAGTCACTTTCTTTACCTGCAATTTTTACAGTTTTTACTCTTTACATTATTGAAACTCGAGCCACTTTGTTAAATGAACGTCCCTACTTGCTCACTGGCGAATCAAATTCATCAACCTCTCCATCTTTCAAAACCAAAATCATATCGCAGTGTCTAATAGTGTTCAAACGGTGAGCTACCATGATAACAGTAGAATCTCTAAGTTTATCACGCACTACTTTCCACACAGTTTCTTCTGTGTCTGGGTCCACATGTGCAGTAGGTTCGTCCAGTATGATGATCTTGCTTCGTTGTAATAGCACTCGAGCTAAGCATATCAACTGCCGCTCTCCTACACTGAAATTAGCACCATGTTCTAACAATTTGTACTCAAGCTGTCCATCCAGACCTTCCACCAAATCTTTCAGCTGCACATCTTCTAAAACGCGCCACAGGTCGGCATCTTGAAAATGGTTTAAAACATCCAGATTTCCTCTTAGTGATCCACTGAAAAGAACAGGATTTTGGCCGAGCACAGAGATGCATCGCCGTGTCTCTCGGACGTTTATCTCTTTTATTGAAACATTATCGATCATGATCTCTCCATCAGCTTCAGGCATGCGCATTAGAGCTGCCACGAAAGATGACTTCCCTGAACCTGTGCGGCCAGCAACACCAATCTTTGTTCCTCCTTTGATGACTAAATTTATATTCTTTAGCACCCGAGGTCCCCCCGGATAATAAGTCAGGGATACATCTCTGAATGTCAAACTCCCTTCCATTGGCCAGTTTTCTGGGGGGAGTCGCTCCACTTTGTATCCAGGCTCAGAGTCAAGCTTAGTGTAGGTGATAACACGCTCTACAGAAGTCATGTAATTCTCTACGTCAGAGCTTGTTCTCAGAAAGTATTGAAGCAAAGTTATGGACTGAATAGCGTAAACAAATGAGAGACCAGCAAAAGCTGAAAAGGAAACATTAGGATCGTAAAAAGCTTTAATTAATTGGAAGTTAGAGTCATTGATGAAAATGTAGATAAATTATTCCACATTGCTTAAACAAAAGGTGAGTGAAGAAAATGGTAATTTTATTCAAGTTACCAGCATTTTGAGCCGTCAAAACAGCCCCCAGAGCCACTGCCCCAACTAACAGGACCGCTAGGACGTCCAGGCGTACAGCAAGCCATCTGCCGCAGGCCCTCATAAAAACACACGACTGATTATGGACATCTTGATGTCTGTACGGGAACAAGAGAAAATCGCAATCGGCTTCAATCAGCTGCAGACCTGACATTATTTCAAACGTAATTCAGGCAGGTGAAAACTAACAAGTAGCACATGTAGATGGTATTTGGCCCCTAATTTCGTGTGTAGAAGATACAGATAAGGAAGGAATATGTTCGGAAACAAAACCAATTAAGAGTCCAAGTCATAAACTTTTGATCTTCTGCACTTAAAGTTCCTAGATGCATAACGATCCTTTACCACTTATGGGTAGTCTCGAAAAGAATAACTTCTCGTTATCAGTGGACACTCTTCAAAATACAGTTTCTACGGAATGACCTAGTAACTAAATACCTGTAAAACGTATCCATGAAATCACTCTGTCTCCCTCTTGTCCGAATTGTGCTCAGTCCTTTTATTGTCTCGGAAAAATGAGAGAAGACAGGACTGCGGCATATTGACTCCAAACGTTTTAGTTCCTGGGAAGTCTTCAAGTAGTACTTCGAAATGTACACGTATAATCCAGTCAAAGGAATAATAACAAACAGAAGCCAAGGATTTGCAGCAATTGGTATGAATACTGCGGTACACATCAGCAAGAAATATTCCAATGCCAACAGGAACTCTCTGGGTAAATGTTCGTCAACACAATCTATATCATTAGAAAAGCGATTTAGGATCCTTCCGGCGGGATTTGAATCAAAGAACAGAACCGGAGCATGTAAAATGGCCACAACCATTTTGTCGTGGAGACGCTTAGCACATTTAAGAAAGACCAGCAGAAGTCCGTATGCTCGAGCGATGGCAAAAATAAAACATCCAGCAACCAGAATTCCATAGATGATTAGGTTTGTCTTGTTTCTTTGTTCCTCTAGGGTTTGCTTTATAAAGAAAGGGAGCCAAAGATCAGGAGCAACAATCACAGCTGAAATGGATGCCATACAAAAACTATAAGTATCTACTTGGCCACTATGGGGGAGTTTGGCCTAAAATACCCTCGTAATCGCATATAGGAGAACCACCTATGAAACATGTCGGACCTAAATTAGCCTTGGCACACTGGAGCGAAGGAAAACCAAGTCCTAATATCGTAATTTTAACACCCTGTGCTCTTTTTGTCTCCCTCTAAATAGTTAAGTATTTATTGCTCAAAGCGCGAAACACAAGGGTTTGTGAAGGGCTTGATTGTGCTCCTTCGTTTTAGACGAATGAGTTACCCATGCCAAATATGTCAACTGTTTTATACGGCCCAGGCCATAGCGATCGTCATCAAGTTAATAACACGCAGGAACAAGGCTTTCGATCTGTAGAATCGTGGTAGTTGATTAGGACTTACCTTGTGCGATAATACAGAAACAAAGGACTGCGATAATAACCAAAGGGTGCAGTCCACTTCTGAGGTATTCCCAGTAGAGCTTGAATGTCACCACCCCAACTGCACGGTCCTCTTCTGTTATGTTAAGACTCTTACCTTCACAAGGTTGGGATGCTAATTTGCTACATTCGTCACCATCTTCTAATATCTCATCTTTGTTCCAGCCAAAGCTTTCCATTAAGTCAGTAATTTCATGCAGAGATGCTTTATATACCGGGTTAATGGTTGAAATTATAATGCCCTTTCCTTGAAGATCAGTGCAACGTCCTTTTCCTAGAACACGCCCCTTGTCCAACACAATCACTTCATCAGCATCTTTTATGTGTTGTTCTTGATGAGAAGTCAATATGCGGGTTTTATTGCACAGCAGGTCTTTGATGCATTTTTCAAAGATGTGTTGCCCAACCTTCGAGTCAACAGCACAAAGCGGATTATCTAAAAGATAAATATCACCGTCAGCGTAAACTGCACGAGCCAAACTCACTCTCGCCTGCTGTCCTCCACTCAGTAGCTCGCCGCGTTCTCCAACAACTGTTAGGTCGCCTTTGGGAAACCGCTGAATGTCTTTTTGGAGAGCGCAGGCATCAATTGTCACAGCGTATTTAGACTCTTCGTAGGGTTGGCCAAACAAAATATTTTCCCTTAAGGTTCCAGAAAAGACCCATGCAGTCTGAGGCAAATGAATGATCGTCCCTTCCTTGGTTATCTTTCCTCTCGTTACTGAGATTTCACCAGCGATCGCTGAGAGGAGAGTCGACTTGCCACTACCTACTGGCCCAGCAATGACTGTTAAACTTTCTGACGGTGCTACAAAATCGATGTCCTGGAGAATGAATTCATGTTCGCGATCAGTTCCTTTGTATGTTAAATTTGACACTCGTAGAGATGAAGATGTATACGAGTCTTTAATTTCGTAGGCAGGCAAGACATGGTCTGCATTCTTTTGTCGTTTGACTGAACTAATATCTGGGCTATATCTGTTCTTTTCAGGTTCATCTTCGAAATTTCGGGACAGTTCGTCCAGAAGAAGAAAGTTTTCTATTCTTCCCAAAGAAACGTAGGTATCATGCGTTACGAGAAAAGCGTGAGCCATCTCATTGCAGGTATTTCGTCTCAGAATACCGACATAAGAAAGGAGCATAAAAACATTCACAGGAGTGATGGTCTGTCCAGTAAGAAGCATAGCGAGGATTGACACCAGGGTTGTCATGGTCGATGCACTGAAGATCAAGCCATCAACAGTTGAATGAAGGACATTCTTTTCATGGACGGTGTTAATTTCATCTCTAAAAAGAAAATTATACACAGGTAAAAATACTCAAGACCATAATGGACTCCGAGCTTATTGCTGGCTTTGGGATCAGTTGTTGTACCAGTTTTAAGAGTCTCTTCGCACTCTGCCAAAATTTGACGCGCACAGCTGAAAATGTCAGGAGCACGGCTTGAAACAATTGGGGCACTCAGTTTTTCAAAATAAACCTAGAAAGGTTTTAATTTCATTCCCTTGCTAGTTACTTTCAAACACTTATAAATTAGGTTGTCACTGAGTAGAAGAAGCGTTAACCTGATATTCACCATAGATTGGAGGAAAAATATATTAATATTTCCCCACCTTCGTATATCTTGAATCCTCCCTCGGTATTCATCCCCCCACACATGCGCCTTTATGGCACGTATCGTGGCAACCACCTGATTCATCAGGGAAATGCGTCGATCAGACACAGCCGCTGTACGCAGACGCACTGCAGCGCTAGCGTAGGATAACCCAGCAAAATATGGAACGAGTAGGAAGAGGAACATGGCTCCCGTAATAGCTTGCCAACCAATCCAGTAATGAAGAAGAAGCACCATAACCACGTTTTCAATAAAGTTAAAGGGGAATCCAAAAAAATAGACGAAAGTCAGATTCTCGATTCTTTTCACATCATTGGATATCAGGTCAAACACGCGCCCTGTGGTGACTTTTTGCAGACTTTCCTTGCTGAGTAGAAGGCTCTGCAAAAGTGATAAGTTATTATCACTAAACAGCAACTGATAATGACTCTATGATGATAATAATAATAATAATAATAATAATAATAATAATGATATTTATCCAGGGAGCCCACTTGCCTCGGCGGTTTTTAGTGGGGCCCTGCAAATAATAAAATAATAAAATAATAAAATAAAATTACCTAGGAGAAAAATTGATATTACAATATTAAATTAACTTTAAAATAACTCAACAATGAGATAGCACATTAGTTACAAACTTTTAAGCTTTGCCTTAAAGAGGGACAATGATTTGCTGTTTTTGATGTCATTGTCTAAGTTGTTCCAGTCCTTAGAGGCTTGATAAATGAAAGTTTGCTTGCCCCAAATGGTACGCACTCGAGGAAGATGTAAATCATTGCTTCTGCGAGTTAGATGAGAATGAAAACTACTATTGCGTCTGATGCCAAATTTAAAATCAATTTCCCTTAATAGATATTTTTGCATGATAACACAGCGATGGAAGTGTTGTCTCTTTGAGAGGGGCTTTAGGTCCAAACGATCCAGTGCCTCAGTTGATGAACTTCTTGGTGGCAAATTAAGCAGGACCTTGGCTGCCTTGTTTTGAAGAACTTGCAGCTGACCCATGAGTGTGTCGTTATTTTGTCACCCACATTGTGTCTCCATAGTCAAATAGTGGGATGATTAAGCAATTATGTAGTGTTCGTTTAGCGTGTAGAGGCAAAAGATGTCGTATTCTCTTCAGTCATTCCAATCCTTTGATTAATTTTTGGACTTATTGTATCAATGTGCTTGGACCAAGACAGAGTTTGGATTAATTATGACAACTCCCAAGTACTTAAGCGAGTGAGACCTATCAATAGCAGTGGAATTTACTTTAAGAGAGACGTCATTGACTAGTTTAAGCTTCCGTGGGTTACCAAAAATAACGAAATTGCATTTGGAAATGTGTAGTGTCAACAGATTACTCGAAAACTAGTTGGAGACTGTAGTCAAATCTGAATTTAACTTACTTTCAAGGTCAGATAGATTAGTCGAAGAGTAATAAATTACAGTGTCATCAGCGTAAAGAATAATTTCACTGGCAAGCTGATACGATGGTCAATCATTAACGTAGATAAGGAAAAGAAGCAGTCCTAATATACTTCCTTGTGGGACCCCAACAGTTATTGGTGCAGCAACATAGGGTGCATCTCCGACAGACGTCCTTTGTTTTCTGTTTGTGAGATATGACTGGAACCAATTTAGAGTATCATCTGAGAGTCGAACCGAATTAAGCTTCTGAAGTAAAAGGTTGTGGTCAACTGTGTCGAACGCTTTCGAGAGATCTAAGAAAACAGCTCCTGTAAGACGACCAGAGTCCATGTTCAAAAGTACGTCATCTGTAAAGTGTGTCAAAGCTGTATTAGGTGATAGTTTAGATCGAAAACTAGATTGTTTGGAGGAAACGATCTTGTTTTCCTTGAGAAAATAGTAGAGTTCTGCACACTTCGTTGGTGGAGTTAAATCTGATGATTCGCAAAGTAAATCATACACTCCATCAATTTTCTGTCACAGCCACAATCTCCAGACGCCGAGGAGAAGTAGAAACAGTCTCAAAACAATCGAAAACGATGAAAACATTCCACAAAAGCCAAAACGAAGGAGGCTTGTACAGGTAAGCTTTCTTGAAGTATATTCGAAAGTATATGTGCCATAACCCAATCTAAAACACGACCTATACATATTCAAGCATTTGGGTTAATGAGTATGTAATAGTCAACATGTTTTTAGGGATGCAAGGAGGTAAAAGGAAGGCCAAAACAACAAGAGCCATGCATAGACGACAACAATGTTTGGGGAGCCTGTTTAAGCTCAGACAACAGCCTTAAAGAACACGACTACTGTAGGACACAAATTGACTCAAACTCTTCGAAACTAGATCAGTCAGTTATAGATGAGTTGACAAGATTACACCAGAGAGTTGCTGAACTAGAAGAACAGAATGACTGTCTTCAGTCACGTTCTCTGAGCCTTGATAATTTGAAAAATAATGACAGGCAGTTTCAGACTTTTACTGG